GTTTATAAAACTAATAAAAACAAACTAAATTGTCGGAGAGGATGTGCTCAGTGTTCGTTGTGTCTATCATAACGCATTAACAGGATGTTTAGCTTCCAGTTGCTGTTTTCATCTTTTTTCATTGTAGCGCATTATGCTAGCAGAGGCAGGTACAGCAGTCTGGTCGTTTGTGTTGCTGCTGCAGCCTGTCCTTATCTGAGATTTTATTTCTGTTTTTTCATGTTTTTGTCTTTCCCCTAGTATGTAAGTCATACTAAATAAAAGACTAAAACTATAACTAAAACTAATGAAAACCAAACTGAAACTAAGCATTGTGAAAAAACAGAAAACTACATAAGCTTACAAATGTTAAAATAAATTGAAACTAAAACAGAATTGAAAAACAGCATTAAAATAAAATAAAATTTAAAAGCTATTTAAACCTTGGAAGTTGCACCTTAAGCTCATTCTTAAAATATGGCGTATTAGCCGTCATGCTGCGGGCCTGTCTGTCATTAGTTGCATAAACTACTTGAAATTTGTTGCATTTTTAATAAGGACTTTTCTAAATGTGTCATCACTGCAGCAGGTTGATAATCCATGACTAATGGCTGAATTTCAGCACCTATCCAGGAGTGTTTGTCAGTCCTGGCAGCTCGCACTAGAGCAAACGGTACTTAGGATGCTACTGTTATAACGCACTTGTTTTGTTGTTGCTTTAAACAGTTCATTTACTGAACAAACTGACTCAGAAAAGGTTCAAAATGAATATTTTATCATGGATAACTTGATCCTTTAACCCAAATCCCATCCTTCTATCTGCACGCCGTATTTACTGGATGAAACAAGCATTTCATGTTTACTCAGGGACTAAAATGACCTTAAATATCTGACCGAGTCAGAATTTGAAGTGGAAAAACCTAAAAGTTTCATTTAAAACTTTAAAATCCAAGATGGCTGCCTTGCACATTTATCCTTAATGCTTAGAAATATGAGAGCAGATTATTTGCACTAATGATTATATGTATCTCATTAAATCTCTCTGCACTCCCTGCATGCTATGTTAGAGGAAACGTTTACGAACCAAGCTAATAGTCGTTAGCCTGGTTCGCTAACATGTCTTTAAAGAATCCTCCTGGTTTTGAAACATCGGTTGATATTTTTCTGCATGAGACAAGATCGACAGATTGGTGCTGAGAAAAATAAAGAAAAGAGATGTGGAAATAGACAAAAAAGGATGTTTTAGTCGAACTGAAAAGCAAACAGGCTAATTGATGTCTTTTACAACTGATATATAAAAATGGACATCTGGCCAAATAGGCAGTTAAGGAATCAGTACAATTAGTCAAATGTATAACTTGATTATAATTGTCCAAAATATAAATTAAGTAGATGTAATTCAGTTATGCTAAATTGTATATAATGGTCACTTTAAAAATTAACATAATTTTATTTCATACCCTAATACAGGATTAATTCATGAAACCTCCTAGGACTATGCAGTAAACTGAGTTTTCCATATTTAGCTAAATTTGAAACACAATATGACATAAAAGTAGAGATGCAGCGATCCGATACCTGGATCGGATATCCGTAGTTTGATATGGAATATCAGAGATCCAATCCAGTGCACGTTATCTGGAACTGTTATATATTTATTTTTGCTGCCTATTTATTAGTAAATAAAATAATATTCATTAAAATCTGTGTTACTTTGTTACCTTTTTTGAACAATGTTTACTTCGAGGCTAAAGACTTTACACACATGGCAAGATATATGGTTCATCAATTTGACAGACGGTATCAGATATCGACCCAGATATCGGTATCAGATCGGGTCGGTAAAAACTGGATCAGTGCATCTCTACATCAAAGCGATGGTTTAAAATAAAAAAGAAATACTTTTTACCACTGATTTGTTAATACAATAAAATGTATAGTGGCTCATAAAACAGCACAGCAAAGGGAATTTGGATTCTATTGCTATATATGAAAGACTTTAATCCTAAAGATGCAATGATTCTTAAAAGATACATGTTATAGATCCATTTCTAACTGATATTGTTTTCTTGTTAACTAGAAAGGGCCAGTGGTCCCTGGGACTGGTTAGTAGGGCCACTTTCCATGAATTAGCTCTATTTGAAATGCTAAGATCATAACAAGTATAGTTCTTGTTCAAAAACATGTTTTGACTCAATTTATATTCCTTTTTGAGGAGAAAATAATTAAAAAATAATCAAAACACATAGATTTTAAATGTTATTATTCCTTAGATGCCTTGTGTCACAAATTAGCTTCATACCTAATTCTACACTATAGTTGCAATGTCTAAATTGATGAAACTTGTGTATTTCATCATTCGAATGATAGAAACACAAATAATAAAATTTTTTGAACAACTGTGTCTAAATTCAGACAATTAAGGGGTTTATATATATGTTTAGATCAAACTATTTGGAAATATAACACCTTCAAAGTGATTCTTAGAAGCGATTTTAGGCTCTTTGCGAATGTTTCTGTCGCTCTTAAATCATGGTTGGTTATATTTTTTTTGCTACCTGCTGCAGTGCTGCTACCACCTCGAATGAACCTACTTCTGTCTCCCACATTACAACGGCTCCCCCTCCTTCCCATGTTTTCCCTCTCCCTCCATCAAAAACCCACCCGCATTAAAATAGGAAACAGGCCTTTGCGGCCTGCGTGTTATTTGTTAGTTTTTCTCTGATGACGTCTTTGCTGTGTTGCTCCGTCAAACCGCAGTCATTTCCGACGCTGCCGTTGTTGTTTCTGCTCGCGTTGCCAAACCGTGTGTAATCACATGTGTCAGGTCGCTCCTCATGAGGATAAGTGTTTACTTAACCGCAGCCATGTCTGTTTCAGGCCCAGCCGAGGCAGACCTGGAGATGTCGAAACACTTGTGTTTGATAGCCCTCTTAACGGCCTTGTTAGCGCTGGACGTCCGTTTTTCTCTGCGCCATTAAAGTTTAAATATATCTCCTTTTTAATCATGTAATGAGATCTCTCAGCCTGTTTCCGGATCTGTGGCTCTGGGGAACCACATGGTTTGGCAACCACAATCTGGAACCACTACTACTAATGCTGAGATATAAAAAGACCACAGCAGAGGTTTAGGAAGTGTGTGATGATGTATTTTAGAGCTGTTTGTATGTGTGTGTTGGACTTTTGAACCCCAGGTAAAGCAAATTCCCACATGTCACAGAGAACTTTTTTTTTTTTCAAGTCTTTTTATGTGACCGCACCTCATTTAGGCCCATGCATGCTCTCCCATTACAGTTCTGATGAAACAGGGGAGAGGCTGTTGCAACACCGAGCTGCAAGCCACTTGACCTCTTTTTGACATGAAACGCTGGATCAATACTTCATCCGCCCCGGGCTTCTCCCCAGGGCCATTTTTTCTCATGCTGACATGCGAGGATGGTATTTTTGGCCCGACTGTTTAACGTTCGCTTCGACCATTAGGTGTTTTAACCCGCTGCCTCATTCATATTGAGTGTTGGCAGATGTCAGACACTAAAGAGCGTGTGATGAGATGTTGATGAAACGGCTGCTGTTTGTTTTCACGCCAACTTCTGCCAAAAGCTTTTCAGGGCTTCTGCGGAGCATGTCGGTGTCAAGAATAACGCCTACTGACGGCAGATTGTAAAGACTGCATGATTGGTAGTGCGGCGCACACACAGACACACACAGGTCAAACTCAGATGGCTTGTTTTTCTTTGGTCAGAATGCAATGTCGACTTTTCTTTCAGAAAGGGTTTTTGTGTTTCACAAAACTTAAGCTCACTGTTCAACATGTGGCAGGTGTAGATTTTGATCCGGACATTTTTACATAACACTTAGGTGACAAAGAGGTTACATCGTGTCTTGCAGAGGTATGGGAAAGATTTTTGGTACAGTTCAGGATTTTATTTGCATTATATCTGATTGAGCAGTATAGTACTGCTTAATAAGAAAACTGGAGGGACAAATACATGTTTTTTAAGCATTTATATGCAGAATCACTTAGACGACAAACTGTAAAACGCCATTTTTCAATTACAGAAGTTTTTTACAAGTTTACCCCCTTTTTTCCATCAAAAAAGGAAAGGTGCGGGAATTAGGTTGTGACTTTGACTAGGCCGATGGGTACCACTGTGGAGATGTAATTGCAAAAACCAAAATGACCAAAACCAAAATGTTGCAAAACACGGTTAAACTCAATAATCACTCTTTAATTTGGTCATTTAACAGGAGATGATAGTTTATTTTATTGTGATTTGCAATGGAAAGCTTTGACAGACATGATTTGATCTGATCAACAACATAATGCAGCCACCATTGTGTTTCACAGTGCAGTGGGAACATTCAGGGTGCTTAGAAGCAAGATTTACACACGTTTGGACTCTAATTAACTTTGAATTATTTTCATTTAGAGACTAGAGGATTATTAGAGGATATACAACAAAATCCGCCGTTCTGCTTTTGCATTTGTTTGATATTTTTATCATTTCCTTTACAGGTTATGAATCCATTTTTATCCAGGATATAGGGACACTATTTGATGCAGGTTAAATTATATAAAGTGCATCTCAAAGCACGTTGTTTTTCTCATGCCCTGAAAGGATTCTTATCACTCTAAAAATCACATGAAAAACTGAGGGGGAGGAGGGTTGCGGGGGATCTTCAGAGCCTCGTTTGAATGCAAATCGTCCCTATTTGCATCCTGATATTCTCACCTGTCATTGCCCTGTTTTTGTATACATTCTCTCTTCCTGTAGAATATTTGTCATTGTTGTTTTGAGTCTGTGTTGGGCTCTGGATTGGGGGGTGCTAGCAGGGTTTCTGGGGTCAGCTGGTCTGGTCTCAGTCTGACAAGACTTCACTGCCACCTAGTGAGGATTCAGGACCAATGCATCTGTTTGCTTTGCTGTAACTGACCTGCAGAAGTTGGTAGCAGGTTTCTCTTTACCAATACAGAAGAAGTGGTTGTGTTTATGTTTAAATTCTGTTTTCTCCTCCCTCAGGCTCGCATAGCGCTGGAAAAGGGAGCCCAGGCTGTTATCTTCGACGTCAGCGATGACGCCAATGCGCCTTCTGAGGTAAATATGCTGTAACTTCTGCACTAATAGAAATGAGACGATAAGGCCTGTGGAGCAAACTCCTCCCTTCGTTTGATTCTTCTCTGTGTCTCTCTTTTGCATCTTCTTTATTTAACTACATCTTCCCACACCCCCCAGCTGAAGGATACAGACTCCCTCCCCCGCCCCGTGGTGCTGATTAAGGGAAGGGATGCTGAGGACCTGATGAACCTGGTGAACAAGAACGAGGAAGCCACAGTTAACATTGAAACCGAGGTGGAGCCCAAATGGGTAAGCACCAACCGGAGGGAAAAAAAACAAACAAAAAAACAAATTTTCAAATGGATTTAAAACAACATATAAAACAACCAAAAGAAATCCAAAGCAGTCTGAGGCTGAGACGTGTTCCTCACTTTGCTTTACAGCCACATTATGATGTGAGCATCCTGCTCACCATCGTCCTGGTTATTCTCACCATCGTCCTCATCTTTGCTTTCCGCTACAAGTGCAGGTCCAACAGAACCTGGGTGAGTAGCAGCTGCAGCTTTCAGTGTTCTGATTTTGCTCAAAAGTTGTTTTTATGTTGTTGTAGTTTTTTCTTCTACTGACTCTCAATATCTTGCTGTTGTTTAGGACTCCGTCCATCAGCAGACCATGCGGGCCATTAGTCGACTGGAGACCAGAACCTACCGCTCCCAGAGCTGCTCGGGCTCACAGCGCCCCCGTGGGGCCTGGGGTTCAGCCAGCAGTTCTAACTCCAGCCCTGTCTGCGCTATCTGCCTGGAGGAGTTCCAGGATGGCCAGGTAGGGACAGAGCCAGGAGCAGGTTGAGTTTGGACCATAGCTGGACACGCATTGGACATTTCTGCTGTTACTCACATAAAAATCCACAAACTTCTATCTCTTCTATCAGACTTTCATGCAACAGATCAACACTAAATGTAACATTTATAAGTGGAAAGAAAATGAATGACTTATTATTTCATGAATAAAAATATGAAAATGGAAAGTTGAGAAGACAACTGCAAACCTATGAAGGAGGTGAACATCTAGAAGATGAAACTACCTAAACAGCAAGCAAAACTGGACAGTAGGCTGACAGGAAAGGACCACAGGACGGATTTGAACTCAGGTCGCCCGCATCGAGGAATATGGCCTCCATACATGGGTGCACGCTAACCACTGTGCCACCAAAGCACCCCAAACCTCTTTATTTTTTTCATAATCATGATGAGATACCCTCATAAAAAGACTAATGGTCCAGGTTTACCTCTAGTAATGGGCTAAACGAAAAAACTGTATGGTAATCAGGTGATTAGTTTCAGAGAAAACTGGCCAAATCTGTATTTATATCCCGCTTTGTAGTCCAGGGCAAAATGATCTGCAGTCTTAACATGAGCAGGGGTCTGTTTCATGAAGCAGGTTTACTGAAAACCTTTAAGTTTTCTAAACCTGAAAACAGGGGAACTCTGCTTCAGTTACCGTAGTAACATTCTCCCCAGAGCTAACCTGGTCAGCAGCAGGTTTTCTTTAGTAAACTCTCAGTTTCCTCTGTTTCTCCTCTCCTTAGAACCAATCATGCTGTTTTATTTCCTGATTTAGTAAGATTTTTGTTGTAGTTTTGTGCATAAAAAAAAAATATATATATATATAATTCACTAGGTCCATTGGAAAAAGAAACGGCCTCAATCAAACCAACCCCCCGGGGAGCAATGGGCTGCCACTGTTGGCGCCCAGGGAGCAGTCTGGGGTTAAGGGTCCTGCTCAGGGACCCAGAGTGGCAGTCTGTTGGAGTGTGTGGGACTTGAACTCAGAACCTCTGAGGCCCGGCGCAATGCTCTAACAATCAGGCCACCACTCCCCTCGATAACTCTAGTTTTCCTTCACTACTGAGAGCAGTGCAGGACACTGTAGCCACCAGTTAGCCTCATATGCTAACTAGCTTCACAGCAAGCAGACAGGTGCTTTTGTTTTTGTAAATTGAATTTCAACATTAATTAAATTTAAATACACTTTAAACTCTGGATATTATTAGAATATGTGCAGAAATATACAGTTTGCTATATTGTTTTCTTTACATTGTTTTAACATATTTTTTCTGTTCATCTGAAAGTTTTATTTTGCTTTGGAAGCATTTTACAATAATCAACGAATCTGCTTCTGTCTTGCTATGGTACCAGAACCTGAGGATCATCTCCTGCCATCACGAGTTCCACAGAGACTGTGTGGACCCCTGGCTGATGCAGCACCGCACCTGTCCACTGTGCATGCACAACATCATGGGTCAGGACAAATGTTGGTTATGGGGCACAACACTGGGGCTACATTAGAAAAATACTCATTTGTGTGTTTATTTTTCTTACCAAAGTTAGAAAAAACATTTCTGAAATGCTTCTGTGATTCTGGTGATGTCCACAGGTACAGAGAGGCAGGCTCAGAGGACCAGAAACCAGCAGAGTTCAGAGCAAAGCCAGAGCTTCCTGCATTCTCAGCCTTACAGTAGCCCCCACAACCATCCCTTTCCCCAGCACGCCATCCCCTTCTCTATGAGACCCCACTACCCCCGTGGGCCGTCGGGACCCTATCCCAACCTGGGCCACTACAGCGGCTCTTCTCCCATTGACACTCAGACTCTACATTTCCTCAGCAGTCGGCAGCTGGGTGGTGGCTGTGGATACCACCTTCCTGTGGATGTTCCTGTAAGGCCTCACAGGATCGGAGCCAACTGCAGGACCTCCTCCCATCACTATCCCTCTCGTCGGTCCTGCCACAACTACCGCTCCTCCTGTCTGGCCCAGCGAAACGCCGCCGGCTCTAGGCAGCAGCACGGCGTCTCGGTCCCGCCGCAGAGCCGGGGAGGAGCGGCCCACAGCCGACCGGACGACGGGAGCTGCTCTGGAGGCAGCTACCACACAGAGCGCAGCGGGTACTTGGCGGATGGGCCAGCGAGTGACTCCAGTTCGGGGCCCTGGCATGGCTCCTCCAGTGACTCAGTTCTCAACTGTACGGACGTGTCCCTGCAGGGAGTTTATGGCAGCTGGTCCACTTTCCGCAGCTCTCTGAGCAGTGACTATGACCCATTAGGGTATTTTGGGGCGGGGGCAGGGCAGGTCCCCCGCAGAAATAGTCTGGAGGCCGGGGCACAGAATCGGCCCAAGTCTCTGGATTCTGTTGTGAATAAAGCAGGCTGTCCGGAGGAACAACCTCAGACTGTTTTCAGCCACATTCACTACCACCGCCACAGACACCACCACTATGAGGAGGGGGAGCACAGCCAGGGGGTGAGCAGAGGCTCAGATGAGGAGCAGGGGGCTGCTGCAGCTGCTGCAGCTGCTCCCCCTGCTCCTGTGCAGAATAAAGACTCCCCAAAACACAGCCCCTGCCACTGCCCCAAACCAGAGCCCACTGACCGGCCCAGCCCGGGGACAGAGCGACAGGACCACAACCAAACCGGACCTCCTGTCATAGTCCCCTCAGTCCCGCTACAGCTCCAATCCCACTGCTGCCACCAGGGACACGGACACCACACCGCTCCTCTGGGCCGAGTGGGAGGCTGTCTGCTCGACGGACCCTCAGTTCACTTTCACCAGAGTCTGGACCTGCAGGACGACCACAGCATCCACATCCACTACGGTCAGAGCCCGGGCTTCTGCTGCTCTCCCCCCGAGCTGCACCCGGCGTTACTCCCTGTGCCTCTCATCTTGGACTCGGCAGGAATAGAGGAGTGGCCTTGCTGCTCGGGGGCCCATGTGGTGTGGCAGAGACAGGTCCAGCAGGCTCACTCAGAGCCTCAGCTCATGGGACCAGGAACCTCAATGGACAGGCCCCCCTGCAGGGTCCATCAGGGACCCTCTGCTGAGCGCAGCACAGATGTTTGTTTATACTGCCAATCACTACAGCACAATCAGGGTGAGGATGTTTCCTATGTAGCCAAGCTGCTTGCTAGGCCTTTTTTGAGTAAATTGGTCTTACTCACTTTAGTTATGTCTGTACCTTTGTATTCTTTAAATGTTTTGTTTTCAATCTTTTTCAATTCAGTTCAGCAAGGTTTAAGGAGAAAAGGATGAAAGAGAGAACATACAGTTAGTCACAATAAAAGCTGAGAGCATTGAAAAACAGGCCAAACTCTACCATTTATAATATTAAGTGATGATGGCTGCTGCCCAGTTGATATTTCTCTCCAAAATGGCTTTATAACCTAAAGGGACAGACGGAAGATGGAGCTACTAGGTCAACTTAGATTTGGGGGTGGATTTAACAAATGCCGCAGAATGGGAGAAATGAGATAAAATGAAGCACAATGATGAAAAGTGGTCCCTATGTCCTCCAGCAGTCTAAGCCTATAGCAGCAGATATATAGAGATAGCTCACAATAACCTCAGCCACTCTAACTATAGGTTTTGTACATTTTGAATCAAGTAACTTATTTTTAAGTGTGTTTTAAGGAATTTAGCAACAATAATCATGTAGCAGCAGTGCCATTTATCACTTGTAGATAGATAGTTTTATCATTTCAAGCTAATGCTACACATGTGGTGGGTGAAAGGATGTTAAAATATTCTACTGTGAAATAGTCCTGCATAAAATTAACACACATAATAATAGGAAATATTACCTCTTGTGACAATACTGTTTTCTTCCTGGTTGTCGCTAGTAATGTTAGCAACGTACCTTTACGCTAATTGCTTTGTTCTTAAAATTTTAAAATTGGTTATAAAGTCATCATTAAATAACTTAGGTTAACACAGTCATGAGCAGTAATATTATATACAATTATTATTAACATTAAATTTGACGCATTGTATGAGCCAAGCTAATGTTAGCTTAACTGTTCACTGAGAAATGTGAGGCTTGAATAAACCTTCGTTTATAGTTGAACATTTATATTTACAGTCAGATTGCAGCTACTGTTTAGCATTTCTCCCTTTAGGTCTAGCCATGTTGATAAAGATATCAGTTGATCCCAGAGATGGCTGTTGAATTTCAAGTCAGAATTTAACTGAAAAGATTAGCAATAGGCTCTATGCACAGCTCCACTACTTCCTGAATTTAATGCAGCTCCTTTGTTTCCTGTCTTTCATGATTGGATGCACTGATTAATCCAGGTGTGTATGACCTAAGTAACTGGCCAGACACACCTGGATTAATCAGTTCGTCCAGTAATGAAAGACAGGAAACAAAGGAGCTGCATTAAATTCAGGAAGTAGTGGAGCTGTGCATAGAGCCCATTAGCTGAAAGATGATTTGCAAACATTTGTAGCTTTAACTAGAAATAAAACAGCACTGTTTCAGAAACCAGGATTTCCTAAAAAGTAGCCAATCACAGGTGGTTCTGTTTATCCAGGGGTTCAAAGTGACAAATGTATAAATAAGCACGTAGAAACATTTCCGCACACGAGTAGGAGAGAATCTACAGGTGCACACTGCAAAAAGTGATCTACAAATAAGTAAAAAAAATTTCTTAATTTAAGGGTATTTACTCTTCATTTATGTAGGTAAATTAGATAATTTTCAAATGGAAATAATTTAATTAATTGCAATTGTTTGATTTCAAGTTTTAGCAGTGCATAAAAGGCAAACAATGAGCACAGAGGCGAGCATGTGTGACATGCGTAAAATATTCAAAATGCGTGTGGAGAATAGTTTATGTGCGCTCGTATATCATGATATTAAGCATCTACACTTTTTGGCAGAATTCTGACTTCATACATTTAGCTCAGGCACAGAGAAAAAAAAGGAGTTGATGCTGATGGAGGATCATTAACCTGATTACATCTCTGGAAAAAATCAAAATCTACATGAGTAATTTTTTCTCAAAATAAGTGCATTTGTTCTTGGATTGAGGAGGTAAAAGAGACATTTTGCCAATGGTACGAGACAATTTAGACTTAAAATAAGGAAACACAATTGCATTGTCTTATTTCAAGTGCAAATTATCTTATCTTATTTTAAGAGTAAAAATACTCATTCCATTGGCAAACTATCTCATTTACCTGCTCAAATTAAGGGTCAATACACTTAATTTAAGACATTTTTACTTATTTCTAGATTGTTTTTTTCCAGTGTATGTTCTCTGAAACACCCCCAGTTGGCTTGGCAATTTAGTTGATAACATGATGCTCAAGCTAGCCATCATAGCTTTGGCGTAAACGGCATACTAATACTAAACCCAGGAAGCCTGGGTTTAGTATCTAAGCTGGGGGCAATGAGCTGCCAGTGTGTATCCTTCATGCTAATGCCTGCTTTGGGGAGTGGTGGCCAGTGGTAAGGGCGATGTGCTTGGAACCCTGACGTTCTGAGTTTGAGCCCCACTGCCACTCTGGGTTCCTGAGCAAAGACCCTTAACCCCACGCTGCTACCCAGGTGCCGCACAATGGCAGCCCACTGCTCCCCAACGATTAGGATA